TTCGCGTGTTGCTTTAAGAACGCGTATAGCGGGTGGACCCTTCGATGATTCACGAAAGAAGTAATTATGACGTAGTCGGAATTTGGAAAGTGTACTTGCAGTACGCATTCTATGATTGTTTGAAAGACCAATATTACACGCACAGACGTTCGTTTTCCTGCGGCACGGTTGAAGCCTGCACCGAGAACCGAAGCCAGGTGAGCAACGTCGCCTCTTTTTCATGATTCCATAGCGCATGTGCCCTTCCCGGAGCGGAAAAGCCGCGAGACTTCTCTTCGTCCATGAGGCATTCCTTCTGCCTACATCGGTTTTTACAGCTCTTACTAAAGTGGCAGAGGGCAGCACTGGAAAGTGGCGAATTGAGACGGCGTAACGCACGGAGCCCGATTATGCTATCGCGTTCTAATCCAACGTCTATGCTTCAAGGCGAAGCACGAGCGTCTTCCAAAATTTTTTTTTGTGGTTTCGTTTTCAACTATGCTCTTCTTACAAAGAAATCAGCATCAATTTCTTTGCAACTTTGTACTTACAAACGAGTGGGTGGAAATATTCCTTTTGGTAACTGTTCCTCGTCGCGCCCCGCCGCGGTGGTCTAGTGGCTAAGGTACTCGGCTGCTGACCCACAGGTCGCGGGTTCAAATCCCGGCTGCGGCGGCTGCATTTCCGATGGAGGCGGAAATGTTGTAGGCCCGTGTGCTCAGATTTGGGTGCACGTTAAAGAACCCCAGGTGGTCAAAATTTCCGGAGCCCTCCACTACGGCGTCTCTCATAATCATATCGTGGTTTTGGGACGTTAAACCCCACAAATCATGTTCCTCGTCGCTTCGAAATTCCGCAGAACTGATTGCCAACATAGGTTATCGTGAGAGCATTGCTACGCCAAACGGGGCATCCTTCATTTTGGAAATGGCCACCAATATACGAATTACCCTGTTGATTATATATATATATATATATATATATATATATACTGAAGTACATATTTCTTAAGAACAATAACAGTGGTGTTTATTTCGACAGTTTCGGCTAGGCCTGGCCAAAACTGTCAAAATAGACACTTCCCCGCTGTCACAGTTCTCACGAAAGATATACTTCACATTTTTCTTGCAACGCTTCGGCCACTTTCACCATGACGCCCGCCTGCACACACACACACACACACACACACACACACATATATATATATATATATATATATATATATATATATATATATATATATATATATATATATATATATATATATATATATATATATATATATATATATATATATATATATGTACTGAAGTAGATATTTCTTGAGAACAATAACAGTCGCAGTGTTTATGTCGACAGTTTCGGCTAGGTCTGGCCAAAACAGTCGAAATAGACACTTCCACACTTCACCGCTGTTACTGTTCTCACGAAGGATATACTTCACTGTCAAGTTGCTTGCAACGCTTCGGCCACTTTCACCATAACGCCCGTCTGCATACATTATATATATATATATATATATATATATATATATATATATATATATATATATATATATATATATATATATATATATATATATATATATATATATATATATATATATATATATCGAGCAGGAGCGTGTGTATAGTCCAGGAACTTCTTATGTGCAAGCTAAATTTCGCGGTGATCGTGCGGGTCGTTCAAATAGGCCCGATAGGGCAGCAGAGGTAGAAGCGTCCTTGTGTGAGCTCACGAAGCCGGTTCCGCATAACGGGGCGTTTATTCGTGAAATTTCTTGTAACCACTGTCCACATTCACGCAGCAGTGGAGCTGAGAGAGACGGGGAAGAGGGCGGAAGACCATGTATACGCCTGTACGTTGAAAACATTCCCGACGAAAGGACAGTACTAGGCTGAAGGCTGTCTTGAACACATACTGGCGCGACTAGATCCATTTGTGTATACGTCAACGTCAGGGAGAGTACGCAACGCAAATCTGTATTCAACCCATAGGTGGGCCAAGGTTCAAAAGCAGTCATTCGCTTCACTCACACAACGAGTTTGAATTCTTGATAGTGGGGAGACCAGTGTCCATAACAACATCGAATGCCGCTTTAGTTCATCCGCGAATATCACCAAATTCTAAGACCGGCTGCAGTAGCGAAAAGTAAATAGAAGAGTAAATGACGAAAATTGTTTAAAAGTGAATGCTAACATTTAAATGTGCAGTTTTAGGTCACTTTCAAGCGGTGAAACACAGTCGGGAGTGTCATAAATACATCAAAACAGTGGCACTTATCTAGGTGGCTTAAATCATGCCATATGAATTGCCACGTTAGTTTGATGTTTTAAGCTTTAGCGGATAGGCGAGATAATAAAACATTTGAAACACTAATCAAAAATAAAACAAAAGCATAGTGAGGTGCGAGGCTCCGGTGTTTACTACAGCTATGAGAGGACAGCGTTCTCCCATTGCTACAGACAGCGTCCATCGCGGAAAGATCTTTTCGTCAGCCAACGCTCTCTCTTATTTTCCACTTGGAGATGAGCGGTTATTTATTTTAAAAAAAAGGGGGGGGGGAGAAAGTTGAAGGAAAAGTAGGAAAATGGGGGAGGAGTTTACAATAACTGTCTCTCTCACGGGCGAGCACGCATTCTCGCGAGCTTTTCCTTAGCAAACGCGACCTATTTGCCACTTGCTTTACCATGATGAGCGATCACATAGAACATTAAGACTACTTATGACAACAGGAGACTGCGACAGTCCGAGCGCATATATAAGGTGCTTCGCAACTAAAATCGGGATTTTTATTTTTTTTCTTCTCAACAACTATCCAATGGGGCAAAATGGCAAAGTGGTCATTCATCATGTCATGGGTAAGCATTATAAAGCTCCTCTCAGCTGGTTGTGAACATTCGGAAGGTTAGTTTAATTTTGTAAGAGCTAGTTGAGAGCGTATTTTCCACCTTGTGTGAACAATCATAGGCACATGCGTAGGGCTTTCGATCAGATGAGTCGAAACGCCCCCACCCACCAATTCATTGCTCGAGTCCAAAAGAAAACTAAAGAAAGAACTCATCACTGCACCTTATGATTATCCACAGACACATCCTCATACACTGCTTGTTCCAGTGGGGCATTACGAACCACACTATGACTGACACGACACGCGAATCTTTCCCATTTTAACCGTGCGCTGGCTCGTATTGTGCACGCACGAACAGAGCCACTTCGCTTTGCTCTTTTTCCGTGTAACGCCGGCGCCAAATCGTACTGTCATCGAGCAACTCTCTTCTTAAGAAATGGCGCTGCGCCTATGACGCCGTACGCGCCGCCAGTATGGTAAACACAGGCGTGCACAGGCGGCGACCGGTTCGCCGTTGCGTGTACACAGACGGTCGTGATCTGAGCGACGCCAGAGGAGCGTCGCGACTCGTGACGTCTGGCCGCGGCCTCGGAGCCCGTCGTCGTGATTCACGAATCGTAGGGCGAGACCCACCAGGTGGCTCTTGCCTTCCTTCTAGGTTCCCTCCATTTTGTTCAACGCACGGCACGTATGTATGACGGAAGTGTTCTCTAGTGCGTTTCTGTTGGCGTAGTCGCCTTGTAGTTATTACAAAACGAACGCAGACAAACAATACTGGAAATATGGATGCGGAGAGACAACAGAAAAAAAAAATATGAATGAAAAATAAACTTGCCAGACATAATTGACAAGCTCGCTAGCGTGCGCTGTTTTTCGAACGATTAATCACCGTCTAGGAAGTCGTAACGGGATAATGGTGCTCGTATCGTGATGATCTATCGGCGATGGATCAAAGCACGGCGAGGTGACATGACCCATCACGAATTGTAAGTCATCGGAACCCCCTTCACGCAAAGTGGCGTGTAAGCACGCGTGTAGTTGCACTAAAGAACCATGCAAGGACGCTGTCGAGGGCTTCTTCAGTTGTTTACAAGTGCAACCTCTTCTTACCTTTGACCTCAGGAAAAGGCAGCTAGACAGATGCGATTATTTTCCGCGCGCACAAGAGGAACGTCCAAAGTGTGCCGCTACTTCCCTGCCATGACGACAAATTGCAACTTGCACCAACGGCACGTGCTCCATATATTTCAATTTACACAGGCGAAAAATCACAATGCGTAACGTTAACGACGAAGTTTTCACCTCTACATGCGACTTGTTTCGTCACGTTTGTTTTAATGTAGATCCAGTGCGCAAAAGTGCGCTCCGTTACACTGCAAACATGTTTAGAGAAAAAGCTAAACCTACGTGGCGTTCATTCTTGGTTTTGTTCGGTGCGAGATGCTTTTAGCCTACAGCTACAGCCGGAAAGGGAAGAAAAAAAAGTCATGGTGGTTGACGTGCGGCTGAAACTCTGTACAAATGGTTGTGAAATGCGAAGTGGAAATCGGACACTCCCATTTAGGCGTAGCTATCATGTGATGTATAGAAACTAGTTATGAAACTGTTCACTTTCTAGATTATGAAACTGTTCACACATCTAGATCCGGGTAAGCCTTTCCGCGTCTACAGCTCGTAGAAAAGTTTGTGCTGAAGCTAGAGAAAATGCAGGAACTCTCAGCTTAGGAGGCTTCTAAATTCCCCTAACAGTAGCTAAACTATGACTTTTCATCCGCCCCACTAATTTCATTCTCCGCGTCACGCAAGTCGTGCTTGGGTGTTGGGCGTGATGGCACATTTGTGTGGAACTGAGACGACGAGACGAACGTGATAGAGGTGTAATTGAGTCGGCCCTGGCCTCGTCCGCCAATCGAAATTTGTCCGGCTAACCGGTGAAACCAACCGCGCTCGCCTCTCTCCTTGAATCCGCCTCCTCCGAAGGAGCAGATACGACGGCGCGCGCCCGGAGACACGACTCGGTGAAAAGCGTGCGCCGGTAAGAAGAAAGGAAGGTGGGGAGGGGGGAGGCTTGTTTAGAATCTCCGAGTGTGAAAAACGCTTTTGCATACATCACGTCTTTAGAACAGCGATACAAACGACACGGGCTCAGTGGCTGGGTGGCCCTCCCGCCGGCGCGCCGCGTGTAGTTCACTGTCCAAACGCCAGGTCTTCTAGCGAGCATCCACAACCGCTGTTGAACAGCGCTTGTGCGTGGAGACAAAAGAGACCCGCGGGGAGCCTCGCACACGCGTTACGAGTCTTGGACGCGGCCAGTGCGCACCTGGGTCACATCGCCGTCGGAAGCGGCCACAGAGAAAGCGGAACCTCGGTGGTCGCCGACGCACGCGAACGACGATGAGCAAGGTGCGCAAGGGCGATGCGGCGCTGGCGCCCAGGCGAGATTCGAGGCGCATGCAAGTGCTCATGGTTGAGGACTTCGACGTGGCGCCGTCGTCCGTCGAAGAGGACGCACCTCGGCGTCGGGAGGTGGACAACGGTGGCGTGGTCGTCGCCTCGGACTCCGACGTCGAGGAAAACTGCTCGGATGCGGGCGACGAGCGGCCGTGCAGGTCAACAGTCGCCGTTGACGAGATCCACTGGCCACTGGGCGTGCTACAGGAGCAATTCCACATCCTCCAAGACCGCATTGTGGATGAAGTTCGAAGGGTGATGAGGGAGGAGTTCTACGAAATGCGCATGTCCGTGAGTATACGTGAGCAGCACGCGTGTCAGCGGTCACGGCTAAAAGGTTGAACAACAAGATATCATCCACAGTCGCTTAGCCAAAAGCAACATCCAGTAAATAGTCACAATATGAATGAGCCCTGATGGAAGTGCGGCATCCAGATTTAAGGGTGGTGCTGCTCCATGCGGCGGGAAACTTGTGGATATAGTCTTTTGTAATATTTACCAGCGTTGAAACTTCCAAGCTTAGAAGTTGTCCATTCGCGATTAACTTCTCATTACATCGCCACTACCTAATGAATCGTCTGAGCGCGAAATAGTGATTCTGAATTCAGGTGACACACATTTTGCTGTCTGCTCGCTCTTCGAGAGCGAAGCCAGAGCATTCAGATACACGTTCATTCCTCTTCATCACCAGCCTGACTACGCCGACTGCAGGGCAAAGACGTCTCCCATGTTCTACCAATCAACTCGGTCCTGTGCTTTTTGCTGCCACGTTGTACCCGCAAACTTTTTAATCTCAACGGCCCACGTAACTTCATGTCACCCCCCCCCCCCCCATGCGTTTGCGTTCTCTAGGAATTCAGTCAATTACCCTTAGTGACCAGCGCTTGTCCTGCCTACGCGTTGTGTACCCGGGCCATGTCAATTTCTCCTTGATTTCAATTATGATGTCTATAAAGTCCGTTTGTTCCCTGACCCACTCTGAGGACAAAGCATCGAGCACTTTAGAGGAAAAAGATAGGTGTAACCATAAGATAAAGAAAGAGTCGAGCGGGTCGTTTCTCTTCACCAGAATGCAAAGAAAACGCTCGATGGACGCAAGATGCACACTGACCATGCCTGCATATGCTCCTCCATCGTGTGTTTTCTTTCGTACTTTCCGGCTAAACATAAACAGCGAGGAGATCATATATGCAACGAGTGAAGTATCACTAAAGAACTCTGCGAACGTAAATACGGAGAATCGCAACAGTTTACGTGCTGCCCGAGTGAAAACGCACGCGTATGTCGGGCCGCAAGTACGCGCAACGTATTCAATTCCAAGTTTACATGTACTGCACATGCCTTCAACGCTAATGCTGTCGTTCAGACTTCACATAAGCCAGTGCACTGGAAGACTGTGCGAGGCGCCGAAGAATGAGAGAATCTGATTTCACACGCGCACTCCCCCCCCCCCTCACCCTGTACTCAGCCTTGTAACTGTCGTTAACTATCAATTTCTTATGGCATCGTCAATTTCTGCAGCACTGCGAAAGTGCTACAACATGGTCACGTATTACAGCACTCGAAGTGTATTTCGGAAGTTTTTAAGCAACAATAACGATAGTTGGACCTGAAAATACAGAGTGAAATTGGCTCAGTCTTCTTGGTATGAAGCTTAGTAGAGGTGACTTTGCGGAGATCGTGAAATAACACATCTATATACACGACGTTATAGTTCAAGACGGCAGTAACTTACGCGTGCGCCAGTAGATTGAGGTAATATAAAAAAATAAATGCAAGAAAAGGGCGGTGTGAAATATTAGAAATGCCATAAATTTTGCGCAGACCAGCAAGGCCTGACATCATATATATTTATGGAAGCTTTTGCATCAAGCCAGGCGTGAAACCGAGGAACACCAGGTCGAGTAGATGTATTAATTTACAGCAGAGGTGTAGCTAAGGAAGTCCCGATGTCCGAGCACCCCTCCGAAATCGTTACCTCTTATCGAAGGAGAAAGCAAGCTACGTATCCAAACAAACACGAAACCAGTCCGTGTTTGTACGCCTTTATTCTCGACAAATACCTACCAGTTAGCTCAACTTTCCTGTTACGGCTTATAAATATATCTCAAGATTCAGAAGACTGATAGTGATTGCTTCGCATTCTTCTTTTCCGGTCGTATTAGCAAGGCACGGCACCTCTGCAAAGTATACGCCCACTGACCTGTGGCATAACTTCAGAATATTTCGGTTTTGTTTTACCGTTGTGCGCTTCTTGCAAGTACTATAATGCTTTTTTTTTTCGCACGCGCTTACAAGATAAACGTGCGCTCGACAACGGCACTTCGGCTTGTGAACGGAAAGGGAACCTTGGAACCACGTACGCAAATGCTCGAACGTGCAGCGGCCTAGAACAGAAAGAGTGGCACGTTCTGCTTCCTCTATTTTTCGAGGGAGTTTGTTCTGTCGCGTTCTGCCTTTTGACAAACCAGCGAAGCGGAGACGGTGTTCCGGAGCCACGCCTGCCGCACACACGTGTGTGTGGGTCGCTGCCGGTGCGCTGCGCCGTGGCGTTTGTTCGACGGCTCACCTCGTGGCTTTCGCAGATGGCGACGCCGCCGGAATCTCCCGCGCCGGGCTCGCCGGTGCCGCCGACGTCGTTCGATGGCCAGTTCAAGGCGTTCGCGAAGTTCGGCGACAGCAAGAGCACGGGCGACGCCATCACGCTCTCGAACAGCGACAAGTGGTTCAAGCAGGCCAAGGTCATCGACGGCAAGAAGATCACCACCACCGACACCGGCATCTACTTCAAGCAGGTCGCAAAGTGAGTGATCATTCCCACGGTGTGACGCACTGCGGCATCAGTGTTTCAAACCAGTTTTTGGGAAATAACCTACTCCAAAGTCAAACTTTTCGCGCTCCGTACTTTACCCTTTACAACTTTTTTCATTGCCCTACGTTTTACCATACACCTAGATGTAGCTCCATGTGTAACAATGATAACGTACGGATAACGTACAGTCGCAATTTTTCTTTAGAGTGAACAAGGAAGTGCGTGGCTTTCGGAGCTCCCAGCGTTGTTACGCGGTGGCACCCGTAAGCGTCGCCGATGCGCAGTGCGGCCGGGCTGCGAAAATGATACCGGTGCGTGCATTGAGTCAGGTGAGCTAGCGCGTGTCGCCTGCTGCACGCGCATGGCAGTAGGAAAGCCGGGTGCTTCAACGTGGCAAGAGTCTTGATTTTCGATTTATGCTCCGCCTAACTCACAAATAAACGTTATGTTTTCAAGATCATCGTTCATTTGTCGCTGGGCGCTTTCCCCGACGCACATTTCCAGCATGACCTGGCGCTGGGCCACACTGCAAAACCTATTATGAACAAGCACACGGAAAATCACCAGGTTGCGGTGCTCTTCTGGCAAGCTTGAGCATTTGTGAAAACATATGACAATATACATAAAATAGGCTATGGTGCGGCACTCTGTTAACGCGGCGGCTGCGGAGAAACTGAAGGTTCAGCAAGAGTGCCAGAATCTTCGAGCGCATCGTTAGTTTGTGCCAGCGCTGTACTTCTCACAACCTTCCGGAACAGTGGCAGCAGCAGTGCTCTTATTTTTCAATGGGGAACATGACAAAATACTAATGGAACATAGAGATAAGCTATTTCAGATTACTGATACAACTTCCTTAAACTAATTCATCTTTCGTGGAACGTACGCCAAATGACCTTTCGGGTAATTGTGTTCTTTTACCTTTTCTTTGTACCTCTACAAGATCGCAGGAAAAAGACAAAAACCAAGTGGCATGGCAGGCACAATTGATGCGCCGATTGAACTGAAAGCATCTAAACTTTAGTAGGCATAATTATATGATCACCAAGGATGCCGAAAATCAGTTAGCAGACGACACACAAGCACAGCGGGTACGTAATGTGCGGGAAGGGAAGCTACCCTCCTCCCGCATGCGCGCAGATACTGTGACGTGTCACCAAACTGCGCTAGCAGTGCCGCAAGCCACGCGCTTCTGTGTTCACTCTAAAAAAAAATTGCGTCTGTGCACTTCACGACGTGCAGGCATACGGGGTGCCTTCGAAATCGGTCCGCCTATTACCGTCATCATTTGACGTCACATTGTAATTCCACAGTGACGTCACAATGACGTCATGATGACACCATGAAATTCTGGCGATATGCCCAGCCCCAATGGCATCATGAGACAGCGTTGTTTTATCATGATGTTGTTTGTTTGTTTTTTGACGCCGAACGTCACTTTTCGTGTATGATAAGGCATTTAAAGCTTTCGCCTTAATACCTGAAGCCGACCACCGGCGTAAAATTTAAAACGCCCCTCCACGAACAGGTGAGAGACGACAGAGAGAGGAAAAGAACACCCGTCAGAAAATAAAAAACCCAGCCTAAGGATGTTTGACGTATTATCTTTTGTCTTTTGTGCTGGTGACATCAGAATTAGGACAATTTCAATTCTAACCTCAACAGGAACGTAACTTTCGGTTATGTCTTGCGGATCTTAGACATTTTTCAGTCTTCAATGACGTGAAATGATGGAATTAATATACGTCACCGTCTTACTACCCTACGCTGGCCGAAGAATTACGAAAATACCCTACAAGTATGGTAATTATCCCACGGGTGGCAACCTTGTGTGGCATCTTTTTTTTGTATATTTACGTACCAGGCTCCATCATATAATTGTGGGAATTAAGCGTGCGTGTGTCAGTTAAAACAGTTCGTGAAGTTCAGCTTACTGCATACATTGCCACCTGGCATGCATGCACCTCTGGACATGCTCGCCACGGTCAATACGCGCTTGCACTGCTTGGCTGTAGATCACGCGCAAATGTGGCAAGTGGTGGTAAGTAACCCATTACGCTGCATAATAATTAACACAGCGAGTTCCCTCGGTCCCGTTCAGCGATCTGGCAAACCAACAAAGTACGTCGTGCTTCGTTGGTAAACTAACAATGCAGCTAAGAATCTGAGAGTCGATCAGGAGAAAACGATAGCCCCAAGTGTCACAAGAGACGAGGGCGCAAACACCGCTTTGTATAAATATAGGGTAACCCAAAAAGCAAAGCTTCTCGACTGTGCAGACACTTTCGCACTATTATTGATCTGCGCACGTGTGCTCACGCACTCTCTCTGTGTTCCCTTCGGCAGGACGAAGAAGGCGCTGAACCTGAAAGAGTACCAGCAGTTCCTGGAGGTGATAGCGAAAAACAAGAAGGTCGAGGTGGAAGAGATCAAGGACAAGCTGAGCACGTGCGGCCCGCCTGCCACCACGCGCACCACGGTAAGTATGCAGGTGGAGCTGTGCACTTTCCGTGAATAAGGTCCCTAGATGAAACAAGTTTCCAAGGTAGCGTCACTCATTGTTCTCGAGCCGTCCTCCTCACTCTCTCGATTACCCCTCTTTTTCTCTGCCATCCACGTCTGTAATTGGTGCATTACTTGCGCGTGATCTTGCAAATGGCTGGTGGTGGTATTTATTATTATGCAAAAGGTTCAAAACGAGTGCGCATGCGCATAAGGCTCCAGCCGGATTTTCGCCGTGACCAAAGACAAAATCGTAGCCAGAACATAAACTGAAGAGGAGGAGCGTTTCGGTGTGCGCCAAGTCGACCAAGATTGTTTCGCGATGCTCGTTCAATGAAACATCCGCGTTTTTCAACAATGCTGCGTTGCCGTAAAACAACAGAAAACGGTTTCGCTCTCTTCAACTTACCTCGTCCTTTCCGAGATGAAGCACACCGTGAAGTGTAACTACGAACCATTTCACGCGAATGCTTTCGTGCAACACCGTCAACGTACGTCGACGCGGATCTGTGAAGCGAGTTAACTTGTTGGTTTTTATTTAAACGCCCGGCGCACGTCTAATGCGCGTCTAGTGCATGCCAGTTGGCACAAATACCTGTGCGTATGTACGTATACAGAGCAGCTGTAGGTTGTAATCAACCCACCTTCAGAAACATTTCACTCTTGACCAGTTCCCGCTTGAGCCGAAACGCGCTGCTTCGAGACACCTCACCAGTAGAACTCTCACTTTTCAGGAAGTTCCCAGCACCGCATCAAAATCACTTGGCATCACGATTGTCAAAATGGGCGCATTTAAAAAAACCGTCATCGCAGTGCTGCTGGACGAGCGTTCGTACCAGTCTGGTCGTAGTTTTTTTTTTCTTGCGTGTGCACAAGCTGGTTGTAATCGATCGTCACAACGTCACGCCCTGTGGCCCCTTACAGGATCACGCAAGAAGCGCGTTCACTGCGGCACAGCATGAAGAAAACACATTCGGAGAAGTGGACTAGTTAGAACTGGACGAACTACCACAGCCGTGGAACTACGATGTACTACGCGAGACACCATAGCTAGTGGTGTATAGAACTGCACAACGTTGCCAGTTGAGTAACTCGCATCCCGCTTGCTCTTGTGTTGTACCGTTTATGTTCATAAAGGTAACTGTTTATTCTACGACTTATTTTGTTCGATTTTGTTTCATTTACATCTATTAACCGCCCCACACTCGCTTTTGGATGAAAGTTTTAAACCTTCTAGGGGGCGCTTGAGGAACATAGGTGAAGAGGAAAGGGAAAGGTGTCGCTACCTTGGAAACTTGTTTCACCTAGGGACCATATCCATGAAGGATGGTTCTGCTATACACACGTAGTACGAGCTCCCCTCCCCCCACCCTATTACAAAAAAAAAAACTAATGGTGGGCATGTTGTAAACCATGTGCACCACCCACCATTATAGTGGAATAATGTAGTGGGTGAATTCTGAAAAAACGTTCACCATGGCACATGGTGTAAGGTGGGATATGGTGGATGCTGCAGTGCCGGCAACGCTTGAGCGCGAAATGGCGTCAGAATCACAGTGACGAGCTGCCACAAGAAATTATAAAAAAGTGCGTGAAAAAAACAATCTAAAAAACACCCGTAAAAAGGAAAAAAAACAGGATATCATGAGGAACGTGTAATCTGTGGATTTTGAACCGAAGACACTAACCACTGCGCTATGCCGCCATGATGAAACTTACTTGTTAAATAGCTAGTAACCATACGAACTGACCGTTCAACTTCAGTTTTGTTTGTCGCGTACTTGATATAGACGAGATCTGTACCTGCTACTAAAATTTGCAAATTTGGTAAACACAAGCAACTGCTAGCTGTAACGATTGCCACTGCGATAATGGCGCCAGCTCTATGTTTTTGTTACAATTGAAAACCTAAGAAAAAAAACCAAGTGGAGTGGGGAGCAGGTACAGTTTACCGGTGGGTATACTGTCAAGTTCAATATCCGTTTCTCGCTCGTTCCAAAGGGCGACATTTGCTCAGGCTTTATGACGCCTCTAGGCTCATTCGATAGATACGCCCACACAATTGAGTATTGCGATGTTTTTTTCGCGCAACGTAGAGTGCAGTCGTGGCAGCGCACTGCTGTAGCTTTCTCGTTAGCAACATCTACATAACGGCTTGGCCAAAACGAATGCAGTGCACCGGAGACATTATGCTATCATATTGGTTCGGCAAGCATACGAATTGCCACGTATGTGTTCTCGCTTAAGAGCCAGAGAAGTGCTGGTTAGTGCGACCGGCGGCGGTCAGTGAAGGGAGACGTACGTTCTTTGAAAGAGCTGGAATCACGTCGCATCGATGTTTGTCGCTTCTTGCGCGGACACCGTACACGATAAACAAATACTTCATTTGGGTTTATTGATGCCATGGCCGTACTGTATTATCATTCTTACTCGTCGAAATTATGACATATTCTCAAACCCAGTAGCGCGGATAACACAATTGTACAAGCTCTGTTGGTAGGCCTAACCTTCGGTCGAAATCATGGTGGTAGAACATGTAGTGTACAGATCCCAGCTTGGTACACTATATACACTGCCCGCCATGATAAGCCCACCCATCATCTGCTTACTGCTTCCTAGCATTCGCAATGGTGGGCAGAGCTTCTCAGCTTGGTACACCATGTGGCCCGCCATAATAAGCAGCACCACCCATCATCTGCTTAGTGCTTCCCACCATTATCGCAATGGTGGGCAGAGCCTCCCATGATTGCCCACTATCTAGCCGCTACTTCCCACAATTGTTTCCACTTTAGTCATATTCTATACACCATGCCACCCTGTATGTCCCGTCATATACACCATAATTTTCACCACGTCCCGGCATAAGCACCATAATTTCCACTATACCCACTATTATTTCCACTACGCCCACCATGGTTTCCAGTATCCGTCACGGTAGTTTTTCTGATAGGGCATCTCTTCAAGTTTTTTTTCATTATTTTTCATAATATAAAACTTACTGAAGTCGTATGGTACATGCCGCATGAGTCCTGCATGAACAGGACACATACCTGCTTCTCGGCATACATGAGGTAATAAAAAAATTCCAACATCTTCCGCTAAGAAAGGAAGTAAGTCGGAAGGATGTGGAAGTTAAAACACACACATGTGTCCCGCTAAAGGGACCCGTTTGTAGATGAGGAGCAGTGGGCGCTAACGCCTACACTGGCGGCGGCGCCGTGAACGCTAGCGCTCATCGAGGCGTTGCGCACGCAGGAGAGAAACCTGGAGAGACGCAAACCACGCAGTGATAGACCAGTGTTTCCTACTGGAACATGCCAATCGCTGCTAATGGGCAATGAGAGACAGAAGACTCTGAGTGGACGCGGAGACCGGCATTCCGCTTTTAGTTAACGCGCCCGCTGCTAATTTTTATTGTTCAACAACGCACAGGAGAAATCTCCCACCAGCTCAACCTTGGAGGCCAAGACCAGTGCCTATATATACGGGGTGGCGAGTGAACGGTTTTGCAGCACGATCACTCGATTTTTTTTTCAATCAAGAAACTTGCTATCAGACGCGTCAGCGTTGCTAGGCAAGAGGGGGGTAGGAGAGGAGAGAGATGGGGAGGGGCACGCATGCACTGTGAGGGTGGCCACGCCGCACACCAGATTGAGCTTGACCATAAGACGCTTCGCATATAAAAATTGTATCATCAATTTCCTTCGGTGGAATGCAGCACCCACAATTATACGACCGTGACTTTTACAGTCATTTGATCGATAACCCGCAGTGGTGATTTTTCAGCTGTTTGGACGAAAAACAGCGCGCATGCACGAAACCAAGGACCAAGATGAACTGTTTTTTCTCCGTCAAAGATGTGTCAGCAAGGCTCAAGTATCTACTTCAAAGTGAAGTCTATTGATTCAACTCTGTGCCGAGTGGCAAAAGGCTATTTTGAATCCGTTAATTAAATAATTGCTTTGAAGGTTATTCCATCGTTGAAGAGACGGAAGGTGTTCAAAACACCTACTCGTCATTACTCCAGCATTACAGGCTGAAGCGACGAGTATACCCTCCACCACACCCAAAACTGACAAAAGAGGAAAGCGTAATACTGAGACGTCTGCAAAGCAGCACATGCACACATGGGGCCCTAATGCACCGTTTCTACCCAACGAGATACAGCTATATGTGCCCGCTTTGCAACGTACCGGACACCCCGGCACATTTGCTTCTTGCATGCTAGTGTATTGCCAGACGTAATCTGCAACAACACACGACTGATAATGAAGCAGGACAGACGAACGAAGACCTAACCGAAACGTGGGAGGCGAAGCTCGCCCTCGAGGACCTAGAAGACCAGCAACAACTCGTCGCCATGGCCAAGAGGGCAGTAGAAGCCAGAGGGTTCCTGAACTAAGGAGCCCTCCCACCTCAGGGTGACACCGGGCATTGCTCGGGGCACTGTTTCAAGATAAACGTTTACTTCTCTCTCTCTTTAAAGGTTATTTGAATGTTTGGCTCATCGGCTTTGGTTCAAGGGGCTTTACTCAAATGAGAGAGAGCTCGTGCACATGTGCAAATATATTTATGAGCACAAGAACATGGTCAGGTGAAGAAAATGGCAGCATATCCACGGAGTGAATGATGGAGAGGGGCGAAGCATCTGTCCGTTCATTCGTTCTTGCTGCCATCCGTCCATGCGTCCGTCTGTATGACCATCCGTGCGTCCATCCGCCCGTCCGTGTGTGCGTCTGTTAGTGCGTCCGCACGTCCATCTGTGCGTCCGTCCCTGCGTTCGTCCATGAATCCGCCCCTGCGTTCGTCCATGCGTCCATCCGTCAGTGCAGCCATCCATGCGTTCGTCCATGCATCTGACATTGTGTCCGTTCGTTCATCTATTCAACACTCCAAGTACGACCATCTCACATCTTTTCATCATATGTTCCTCATGTAGAAGCACCGCCATCCAGCGGACATTCCAAGGACTAAAGGAAAGGTGGCACACGCACACTTTCTGACGGCTTGCGCTTGGTGCCTACTTCCCACCTTTAACCACCTCGAGTTCATGGTATATACTGGTTCACTGTATTCATGGCACTGTGGCCCAACGCTCGCTAAACTTTTCTAAAACCAAGGAGGTTACGCCCAGCGAGTGTAACGTAGCAACCCTTTTTTGTCAGATAGTGCTCAATGTAAATGCCAACGGCTGCTAATGGGGAATGAGAGACAGGAGAATTCGGCATTTAGTTAACACGCACACTGCGAATTCTTTATTGTTCAACAACACAAAGGAGAAATCTCCCACCGGCACCATATTGCAGGTCAAAACGTAAGACTGGTTACACACTACGACTACGACTACCACGAGGGACGAACGGATGCCGCTTTAAGGAGCTTCGCCCATAAAATATTGTCCTGGAGGGCCACAAGGTGACATTTTTCAAAAGCCACATGCCTTTTTTTCGGGGGGGGGGGGGGGGGGGAGTGAAGCACTGCTGTAGTATCTATCACACAATCTACCATTAGATGGGAAGTACATCAGAAAGTAGGATAAACGTTCTTCGAATGTATTTCTCACCCTCCAAGTTGTAACTAGAAGAAAACTCTGACGCGAGTGGGCCCCTGACTTGAATGTAAACGCAGATAGTTTTTTACTTGCAAAACTTATGCACTTTCCATTCCTTGATCTCAGTTTAAGAACAGAAAGAAAAACAAAAAGAAAATATTTTTCAAGAACGGGCCAAGCATGTTTCTGATTTACTTGATAGTCTTTCGTCACGCGTGTACTAGTATTTCTTCCTTATATATGCTAACATATATGAAACGCACGCAAATACTGTTGCAACTACATCTCATTACACACTTAATAAAACTGCACACTGAAAAACGGCGCATCATGTGAGACCGGTACAGGACTAGACGGATCAATATTGTTATAATTAGGAAAACATTTCAGATCTCAGATCAGACTTTTTTTTAATTTGAAATCTCTGACTGTAACCCGTTCTTATAGACCACGTTTTTGACATGTCGTTTGTAACGTCGCGAGTAGCACCGCGGCCACGGTGCACTGTCCTCATAAACTATAATCGTGCACATGCCGTGCCGAAAATTTGGGTGCACCGCTAGTAACATCTTTTTCCATTGATCCTGTCGGGAATTTCTTCACTCTCGAGTTGAAGGAGCGCTTGCAGAGACAATATTGGACTGATCGTCGATATGCCGGACGCACATGCATGCGTGAACCAAACAATTTTGGATTTTTGGCTTCAACGTTAATGTTGTCCAACTGCTGTATGATTCAAGATAAAAAAGAAATCATATTATCTATATTATACTAAATGCGTTAGAATTTATTTATATTTCTGTGAGATACCTACGGATGAACATGGAATTCACAGTTCTTCAACAATGTGGTGTCATGGAAAGCTCTGCTTCTGCAGCATTGAGTATTTCAATGAAAGCACCACTCCAGCTTAATAAAGAATCTCTGAATAAGAAACTATCGATGCTTACTTTTTTTCACAGTCCGCATTAGAAGTTTGCCGGTTCTTGAACAATGGAACAGGATGCTAGAGGCCCGTGTACTGTGAGACGTCAGCGTACGTTGTAATAGAACACCAGTTGGTCAAGATTTCCGGAGCCCTCCACTATACGGCGTCTCTCATAAACATATTGGGACTATAGGACGTAAAACCGAGACATTACTATCAAACAATGTGAACATACAGTCGGTAAACAAGCGTTTTGGGCTGGCGTAATTAGCGTCTTGACAACATGCATAGTGTTGCGATACGTATAAGTGAAGCTGCTGCTGCTAATAATAATAATAATAATAATAATAATAATAATAATAATAATAATAATAATAATAATAACCAGATCATCCGGTCATGTGTTTGCAATCACCGCAAACTTCTTTATCTCATCTGCCCACCTAGGTTTCTGCCTCCCCCTGGTATGCTTGCCCTCCCCCTTTCTTGAAGTGTAGTCTGTAGCTCTCAAACACCTGTGCTTATATAGGCTTTTCACTGCATACCATCCATGCACATATCTTCTTGATTTTGACTTAGACGTCGTTACCACATGTTAATACTGATTGATTGATTGATTTGTGGGGTTTATCGTCCCAAAATCACCATGTGATTATGAGAGACGCCGTAGTGAAGGGCTCCGGAAATTTTGATTACCAGGGGTTCTTTACCATGCACCCAAATCTGAGCACACGGGCCTACAGCTTTTCTGCCTCCATCGGAAATGCAGCCGCTGCAGCCGGTATTCGATCCCGCGACCTGCAGGTCAGCAGCCGAGTACCTTAGCCACTAGACCACCGCGGCGGGCATACATATTAATACTCACACTATGGAGTAAAGATATAAAACTTAGAACGATCTAGTTTTGTATTGAGAACACCTGTCGTGAGCAAAGAAAACCGTCCACCTGTTCGCTTGTCTCAAGAATAAGACAGCTCACAAGCGCATGTTTATATCACCCATATATTTTACGAGGACGCATCTCCATACTTGAGCTGCAAATGTGCTGACACGCGCTGCAGAGCGCATTACTCTGATTTTCTGTCTCTAACTCGTACATGTGCTTTGCATTGGCGTTCTTTCATGGCAGCCAGTGGCCACGGGTGGAGCTGTGGCTCGGCTAACGGACCACACCAAGTACACGGGTACCCACAAGCAACGCTTCGACGAGACAGGCAAGGGTCGGGGCAAGGAGGGTCGCCAGGACGTTCCCGCAGACTCCGGCTACGTGAGCGGCTACAAGGACGAGGGCAACTACAACAAGACCCATTGAAGGTACTCGCCGCGCTCGCGGGCCTATCCGGAAGCGCGGACACCAACCAGCCACGGGGCGCCCAGGGCAGCGAATGAGCAGCGCGTCGTGGAGTCCCGCTGCTGCATCCCACAGACGAGCCTGCAGGAGGCGACATTGCATCACGCGCGACCTGCTTGCGGAACACGATGCCTCCACTTAAAACTTTTTTTTTTCGTTTTGGGAACTGTGATTCACGCTTATTAGGCCTCAGCAGCCGCTTGGTGCAGGGATTCGCATATAGCCGCTCACGGCACGCATCGGCTTGTACCTTTAGAAACGAACGCCTTCCCCGTAAAAGTGATCGAAAGGCATGGTTTCTGAAGGGTGGTTCATACGACGCTGTAAAGTCCCCCTGGTATGACAAATGTTAGAAAATATGGAACAGAAAACGCTGTAGGAAATGTCGCATCATTATGTACCATACTTAAGCCTTAGTCATACTATGCCCTTTGAAGCTTCTTCTGATCAGAAGCTAAGCAGAAAAAAAGGAAAAGTATAACTTTCGAGAGTGCTGCAGCTATACTGTATGAAGCAGAAATGGACAAACTTCGGCGTTAAATTTCGTTCGTCCGCATGAGTGTTTTCTTCCTCGAGGTTGGAATGGGAGTCACTGCCCCGCATGTACTCGGTGTGTTGCAGCCGTTTATCCCGATCACGGAAGCCTGCCAATGTTTGCTAGCTGCGGTTTCACTTTCTTGAACGCCAAAGATTCAGTTCACGGAAGTTGGTGAGGATACAATTTGGAACTGGCGAATGGAAAGCAGAGATTATAAGCTTGGTAATCTAAATGAGGGAAGTACACTTGAATTGTTTCACCATCATCTTTTTGCAATATTGCACTGGCCGGATTTCTTGTTTAGTGTGCGCCTGAAAAAAAAAGCATCAATCTCTCGAGTTGCCAAACTAAGAAGTCTCCCAAATGCCATCGGCCAAACAAAAAAGGATGCAATGGCCTATAGGGCCCATAGGTAACGTGCTTTCATACTAAACTACCCATAGCCTCATGTTCAGAAAGTGGAAGCGTAGCGTTTGAAAACACCCTCTCATTTGTTCACAGCTATATACAGGTATGCATACCGTGTCAACGCTTCTCTCTGCAGGAGGATATATGACCGGATAGTGTCATTTTTCTGTACATCAAATTATGGCTTACATGTTGGCGCCACACAAGATTTTTATATACGAAGTTCTTACAGCTGACTTACACCCCTGTTCTGTGTTTATTCAAGCTGTGTACTTTTCATTGTTGTCACTGTAGTGTTCAATAAAAAGTGAAGCGTATCGTGCATTAACATGTCTCGGCCGACGTAATATGGCCTCCCATGTTCCTCGTCTGATCAAAACTGATCCAACCAACCGCTTTGAAAAAAAGAAAAGAAAATGCTACTTGTTGAATGGATAATCAGAGTGCAAACAATGCACAACGAATGTCGTAGCCATTGAACGAGAGCTATATGTGATACAAGCTTGGAAGGTGGGTGTGTAAATCCACCTGATTGTCGGAGGGAGGGGGGGGGCATACGGCACACACACACATCCCTCCCCCCGTATGTCTATCTCGCTGGTTGTCGTTACACGCCGAGATAGATCAAACGCAGCTTCGTCGGTCTGCACGGGCCCCCTAATCTCCTACATTTTTATATATCCTGCTATATCAGTAAGTGGATGGAAACGAGAATCTAGTAGCCTTTTTGTGCCGGCATTGGGAAGCATATGCACATATTGATACGTGATACTTCTTCATGCGAAGCAGCTTAAGGTCTATACTCGGCGACAACTTTTCTTGGCAGTGAAGAGGACGCTACGGAGGCGGAGCTTCTGCACATGTAGCACCACGCGAAGTAGTCCGTTTTGGCACGCGTCTCGTAACGTTGTGGAAAGTGACGGGGGCGCACCATCAGCGTTTCGTGTGACGCAGACACCACTTAGCGTTAGAGGTGCACGTAAAAAGGCGGGACTTCCTCGCGCGTTCGAAAACGCGAAGTCACCACGAATAAATCGAAGTAAATACGACCATTCTAATTGTGGGAGCTGCGTCCTGTCTCAATTAGCTCCACGTAAAAAATGAAGGGGGAACTTCTCTATTTCACGGTGAAAATACGGGCGCTGTTGTGGAACTATATTCACTGGTGGTAGGATGCCCGCGATTTGGCTCTGTAGCCTTTGCTCCAATGCCAAGAAAAGTTGTCGACGAGTATAGACGAGAGCACGCCTATCTCGCACCCAGGCGCCTTTGGCGGTATACTCTCGCTCCCATAGACGCCATAATTAGTTTCGAACTGCCAAGGCGCGCCTCGCTAGCATGGCATGCAGCGCCTCTGAAAGTTTAAGATTCGGAAAAGCGCCTGTTCACGCTGCGCCCGCTTATAAAATGCCATCTAGATGGCATTTTATAAGCTGGGCGCAGTGGGTACCACTGCGCCATCTAATTAAGTACCACTGCGTCATCTAGATGGCGCAGTGGTACCCAGCTGTGTACCACTGCGCTGTCATCTGATGCGAAAACAACCAGCGCAAGAGGAAGAGATTGCTGAGCACTGCCTGTAAAGTTCACAGCGCATCGCTGAAATCGTGCCGGTGCGGTGTTTTGCGATTGCACAGGTTTCCGTCCACAACACAAAACGCTGAGCTCCACTGCCCTATAGAATATAATCGCAATCAGCAGGAAAAACTACGAGCCCAGTGAAATATACGAATAAGTGTACTTATTGCGTTTATTCAAGCGAGACTTCAGCTAGTGCACATTACAGCAGCAATTTGTGTGCAGTATGCATGTATGCGGCACAAACTCAATGCCGTATTCTTTCGCAGGCCGCATGTCAATTACAGGAGATACGTATTATGACTCACGCGTGGATGAACGCGCCGCGCATGTTTAGTAGTACTGTAACCGGCTACTATCGTGATGGATAGAGAGGTGAACGGCGCGGAAAGCATAGCTTTCGACTCGGTCGAACTGCGACATGCCTTGACTGTCACTAGGCGAATCTACATGTGCTTTCAGCCGGCGTCATCGTAGAATTTTAAAATCTTGTTCTGGCTCGCACTTTTGCACCGCGTGTGTGTTCCGAGTGCTCGGCACAATTGATAAACACTTGTGCACGAGCGTGAGTTGGAGCCGGATTATAGCGCTACGTTGACGCCGGCTTACAGAACAAATTCTCCCTTGTCACAGTCAAGGCACGGCGCAGTTAACAATGTTCCCGTTTTTCAGTCAGATAATAGGTACCTGATGATGTTGCTTCCACAGTCTGCAATGCACGTGCTGCGGACATTCCGGACTGTCGAGAAAGGTCTCCTCGATGTTTCACAGGAAATCAGCATAAAGTTCTAGTGCAGGAACAGCGCAAAACATGCTTACAGCCGCATGCACTCGGGTTGTGAAGTTCCGCGTTTGATTTGGAGAGTCTGCTCGCATGGCAGTTGAGGATGTTGCTTCGCCGCGCTTGCAACAGATGGCGCCTCGCACTTTTCAACGTGGTGGAAGTGGTGGAAGTGGTGGTAGAGGTCGGACGTGTTTTTGGAGAGCTCCGGAATGACAGCTACAGATAAGTGTTTTTGCATGTTTCCAGCTTGCCTCTGTATGCAGCGTTATGAGAACGTAAGGCGCTAGCGTAAAGCTTGATTAGGTCTAGTACGGTGTACGTTTTTTTTTTAGTATTTTGTACTGTGTCTTTTTTTTCTCCAGCCACCACGTGGCTGAGGCCTGCGCGTAGACCGACCACGTGCATGCGCAGGTGCTGTGAAGTGTAGCGTATTTATTTATTATTGTGGTTCTTTTTGGCTTAGACCAGTGTATTTTAGTACAGTTTTCTAACACGTGGGCATCGGTAAACTGAGCTAGCCATGGTCAAAAAGACCGTAAAGTGTTCAGAGTGCGGGGTAGGGTGGAAGGTGGAAATTAGTGAGGAGGAGAAAGCAGAAGATGACGCCAAGTGTAGACAGTGCGAGTTCGAGGAGAAAATGAAAAATATGATGGCGGTCCAGAGTGGGCTCATGGAGAAAATCGCAGAGCTGGAGAATGCATTGGCGAAGGAGCGAGAGAAAACGTCAGCCATGGAAGAAAGGCTCCGGGCAGCCGAGAAGGGCCTATCGAAGGTCGTGAAAGGGAACGAAGACGCAGGTGACGGCGGAAGCATTATGGCGACGACCCCCCGTGCGGGAGAGATGAAGGAAACAGGCATGACAAAGGCAGATACATTGGCCACAGGGCCCAGCTACCGGGAAGTAGTTTTGAGGGAGGGAGGGAGCAAACCAGCAGCCGTGACTCACGCTAGTCACCTAGTCAGCAGCCAGGTGCAGGTTTCAGAAGGAATGTCTGAACAGGTCATCATCGCCGGTGACTCAAATTTAGTCCGATGCGCAGCGGCAATCAAAGAAAGGGTGAAAGGCGACAGGAGAGTTGCGATAGGGACGTTCCCAGGACAAACGCTGGGGACAGTAATGAGTCAAGCGGGTGAACAACTCGCAGCTAAAGCTAACAATCGTAACCTCGTTGTAATTGCGGGAGGGTTAAATGACGTCCTGAAAAAAGAATCGTCAGGACTAGCGACGACCTTGGCGAAAGGGGTGGATGACATGCGCACCGTGTCCCCCCAGGTGCAAATTGTAGTATGCACAGTACTGGAAGTACCAGTACGCAACGTCAACCTGCAAAGAGCGGTTGTCGACGCAAACAAAGAGATATGGCGAATTAGTCGAGAGAAGGGTTTCGAGGTAGTTGATTTAAACAGGGAAGTGCACAGGTGGGGTGGATTCCAAAGAGACAAGATTCATTTCGATAAGAGGCTTGGACACGAGGTGGGCTGGCGACTGGCAGGACGCGCAGTAGCTTTTTTGGGGGGCTCACGGGCCCTTCGGAGTCCGGGGTAGCTCGTAACAGGGAAAACAACCAGGAGGACGCTTTGACAGGTAGAATTGCGAAAAACCAGAAAAAAGGTAAAAGAAAAAGGAAAAAGGCGCGTGTTGCAATTAGTTACATAAACATGCAGGGTGGCAGAAAGAAGGCAAAATGGTTAGAGATTGAGGAGCAGTTAAACAAAGAACAGATAGGCGTGTATGCGGTTACAGAAACACACCTTAGAGACTTGGAAGAGCCACCACATATTAAAGATTATGTTTGGGAAGGGTGTAACAGGACCATATCGGAAAGGAAAGGTGGGGGTGTAGGAATGCTAATTCACCGTGGAGCCAAATGGGTTAGAGTGAAACAGACGTGTTCAGAGCACCTCTGGGTTCTGGGCACAGTAGGTGGAAAGAAAACGTGGCTAGGGGTAGCCTACTTGTGGACGGGGAATAACTGCAGAGAAAAGAATCAGGAGATAGTGGATTGCATGAGTGCGGATATTAAGGAATTTGGTAATGGGGCCGAAATCATCCTTCTAGGGGACATGAATGCCCACATACATGATTTTGACGGATATTCAGACACCAATGGGAAGTTATTACTAGATCTTTGCGAGCAACATAGTCTGGAGATAGTTAACACGGGGCCTAAATGTGACGGCCAGATCACATGGGAAGTCGAAAACAAGCAATCAAGTATTGATTATTGTCTCATGACTGAAGGAATTTACCACAAACTGACAGAAATGAGGATAGACGAGGAAGGCATTAACAGCTTGGGTAGTGATCATAAACGAATAACATTACAAATGGGATACGAAACTGAAAATATGAGCATGGAATCAAAGTCTGGCAGCTCGTATTTAAATGACAAACAAATAATAAATATAGCCGCAAGAGTCGAGGAAGAAGTAGGCGAAATACCAGGCAAGGACTGGGAGTATAGTGAGCTGTTACATCTAATGACGAAGGAGATAGGGAAAGAGAAGAAAACTGTTTGCTGGAAAGGAAAAAGGAAGCCAAAAGTTGGTGGAACAAGGAAATCCGGGAGGCGATCGAGAAGCGACGCGAAGCATCACGGGAGCATAGAAAGGCAAAAAAGGAGAAGCGGCCGCAGGACGAAGTAAAAAAAATATGGGAAATATATTTAGAGAAAAAATCCCTTGTACAGAAATTGGTAGAGGCAAAAATTAAAGGTGAAAGTGAACGCTGGATGACAGAGATACACGAAAAAAAGGAGGCCGCGCCTAGGATTTTTTGGAGCCACATAAAGGCGCTAGGTAGGAAGTCTGTCACAACGCAACAACATATTCTAGATGAAGGAGGAAATCAATTGGAAGGGTACGAAGCGCTAGGTTACATCCAAAAGGTAACAGCCGATTCGTTTCAAAAGAGCGTCCAGGGGATCTCCCCGGTGAGTAAAAGTGTGGCGGAGAAAGCAACAG